AGTGTGCGCCGCTGTCGGTTAAAGGGCGCTCCCGGGGCCTGCTGGGGCCCCCCGCCCCGGGCTCCCGGAGGAGGCAGGGCCTTGCGCAGGCATCTGCGGAGCAGGGCCGCGCCGCGCCGGTCGGGGGATTTCAGCCCTGTTGGCAGCGCTACCTGAGGCGCAGGGTTTCCGCCACATAAAATTCTCTTTATTTAGAAGTGTTTCATTAGGAATTAGAACAAAAACCCTCTACCAGCAGAAGTCTGCACATCAAAATGGGATTCTCCTTATAACCTCTGCTGCTGTTTAAACAGGAATCAACAAAAGTAAATCCAGGCCGGTCGGGGGATTTCAGCCCTGTTGGCAGCGCTACCTGAGGCGCAGGGTTTCCGCCACATAAAATTCTCTTTATTTAGAAGTGTTTCATTAGGAATTAGAACAAAAACCCTCTACCAGCAGAAGTCTGCACATCAAAATGGGATTCTCCTTATAACCTCTGCTGCTGTTTAAACAGGAATCAACAAAAGTAAATCCAGTGGCCTGCGTCTTAAAGGTGTCAGGTCAGAGCAGTGGTTTTCAGCCTTTTCCAGTCTGTGCGATCATGAAGTAGTTCCTACGAACCCTTACGTAGCTAGGGTAAGGCCGTTACTGCTAAACCTGCTTTTCTCTTACCTTTTGTGTGCCCTTTAGAAGCAGTCAGCAGTAGGAAGGAGGGAAAGGCAGACACCATGGATATAGTCACAGATGTACTCTAAAGAATTTTAATCTACTGGTTTTTAATCCTGTGCATAACTAAGTGCCACCAAAGTTATTCTTGAGTTAGTCAAACAATGCCAAAATTAAAGGAAAAAAAAACATATTTAAAATTTGCTTTGTAACAAAGAATAAAACATTTTCTCTTGAAAGCGTCAGCACCAAACATTTTGATCTTGGTACAGTACCTCTTTCTCCATTTTTTCTCCAAAAGAAAACAAAAACTATCAAATCATAAAGCTCCTCTGAGAAGTTGCTGTTCTGATTAAATGCCACCTACCAACTTGAAAAACGTTGGAAAATTTTTAGGCAGCTTGGGTAAACGCTGATCTCCACGCTGGAAGGCATATTAGCCTGATGAGACTGAGGATAGCAACGTGCAAATGCAAGATATAAGGACATGATGTTTTCCCCCTCCTATACCTCAGGTTACCTTTTTACTACTGGACGCGCAGCAAATAATTGTTCTGATGATTTTGAGTTACGTGCAATGAAAGGTCCTGCAGCAAAACATTTACAAAATATGACAAGAAAGACCTGCACGCATAGCGGCCATCAGGAAACAACATTCACAGACACATTCTCAAACAAAAGCACAAAATATAATTACTTACACAGGTATTGCCAAAAAGCTATTTTCTAGGAAGATTTCCCTTCTCGCTTTCTGAAGAATCATCACCAAAACCTCTACAAAGAACATTACTTTCTTAAAGTCTCAGAAATCAGTCCCTGTCCCTTTTTAACACCCCTCTTTGCTCTCTACAAGGACATTGTGTAGCATGCACAGCCTACAACAACTATAATCTTGGAGGGAATAGGGAACCTGAAGTTCAGGTTAAACAAATTAAGCACAATTCTAGCAACACAACTGTGAGAGTAGCCCGTTTTCCATCTCTGGCTTCTCTCCTAATGACTATTTTTTCACTTTTCCAGGTTCCAAGTCTATTTATAAACTCCTGCTCTTGACCTTGAACTCCTGTAAGCTGCACTCCCAGAGAGGCTGTGGGTGTCCAGGCTGCTTTCCCCCAGTGATAACCACTCAGGTACCTTCCAACAGCTAATGAGCTTGCTTAATGAGCTGTCACACCCTATTCTTGTCTAAGCCTGGCTTTTCTGCTGTAGTCTTCTAGCTCTCTGAACGAGTCTCATCTGTATTTCCCAGTCTTTACTACTTTACCTATAGAGCTAAAGCTCCTGCTGCACTTGGTTGCTAGCTTTTGCTATGCCATACAAAATTCTAGGCAGAAGCAATGGAGATAGACTGACATAAGCACTATGGTTTTGCATATGTGCAATATGTTCTTGTTTAAAAATAATTCTTGAAGCTGAATAGTTCCTTGAGAAATGGAGTTCCCCTTTTCCTGAGAAAGGACTGCTTTTATGATGTTCAGATGACTCTGTTCTAGGCTGGTAAGTACAGGAAAATCAAACTTTACTTAACTTATAGTCAGATTCTGTATTACTAGTTTCGTTTCTGCTAGGAACTTGGCCTACAAGGATACACAAAATTGCTGCTGCTCAACAGAGACCTAATAATAGAGCTGAAATTAAACCCTACTGCTAAACACATAAAATACTTCGTTAGAGAAGCAAGTCAAGTAACAAGACACCAGTCTTTAACTGCGTGGTCATGTGGTATATTATTATCTCAGTGTATACAGCAAACCTTGAATATACAACTTTCAAATTTGCAGGAGAGGCTGCTACCACATGGAGTAAAGGAAGGACTGGTAACAGAATGCAGTATTTGCCTTGCAGAGAAGCTCACCAAAAGAGGGAAATGCAATAGACTCCTCAGCAGCTCTTTGCCAGATAGGAATCCCTTTTGCTGTGATACCTTCCCAAGGCTGTAGGGCAGCGGCTCAGGGCTGACAGGCCCTGGGACATACACTGGGACTCTGGGGCCTTCTCTTCCTGAAAGAATTGCCTCTCTATAAGTGAAGGAATGTGAATGGCAGGCCTCACGTGGAAGTCTAAGGAGGCTTATGCAGCAGTAAGAGTTTTGTTAAGCTGCGCAAAAACAGGCAAACACCAGTCATGAGGTGTAACTTGATCAATTGTTTCCCTAGCTCAGTATCCCAGTCGCTACACAATACTCTGAGGGATGCATAGCTGCATCTGATTTGAAGGAAGCAGAAGGTTCTTTGGGTCTATCTTGTAAAAATCTGTGACGAAGATATATTCAGGGCGTAATCCACATGGTTTGTGTCTCCTTTGTGCAAGCTATATAGTAACAAATTGATCTCAGAACCTTGGTGCGAACATGGGCGGAGCGACTAGCAGCAATGCAAACTTCATCAGCGAAGTCAGTCCCATGGTCTGTGTTGTATTTTACAGAATTGGAGGAGCAGCTCAGAGGTGGGATCCATCTTACAAGCCATCCTAAATGCGGAGTGACTACTGTGTGATTAAATAAGTAACATGGTCTCTAGGCCAAGTTCTAGTGGTATTTTTATTTCTGTTTAAGAGCTTATCCTTTCCTATTTGTATTAATATTTTTATTTCCATACTCATATTGGAAATACATTCATAAAAATTTCATAATTTTTATTTCTTATTTTCTGCTAAAATGAGAAGAGATAATAAAGACAAACACAAATTCAGAAAGCCCACCTTTCCACCATACAGGCACTCTTGCAAGAGATACTCGGAATTCTTCCTTTTTCACCCAGCTATTTTGTCTATACAGACCACAAATATCCAACTATATTTTACAGCCTTTTAGCACCCTGGCCCTGCTAGACACGACCTGGTTTGTAGGTCTCAGAGGTAACATCAGCAAGGTTCATTCTGAGCAGTTCTGTGTGTTGGCACTTTCCTCTCCGGGTGTCACCAGGTGGCAGTACAACAGAGGGGCTTTCAAAGTCTGCTGTTACACAAAGCAGTAGAAGTTGTGCGTAGCTTCAGGTAGGCAGTTCATTTTCATATCACAATTCCAGCTTCCATCACTTTTCCTCAGTCCATTTTAAATAGTGAGACAGGAGAGTATGTCATGGTATAAAAATACAACTATTTCCTTCCCTGTTTATTTACTTTCTGTGCTTTGAGCCTTTATAGGATTCCATTTTCATACTCCAGCTAAAGCCTCTAGGACCAACAGATTT